AACAATATACGTTTTACACAGTGTGAAATTGTTTGAAAGTCATAAGCTCATCTGAACACAAATCTTAACACAAATCTGAATCTTAAGCAACGAAATTGTGTTCCAGGATTGATTGAAGCAGACCAGAACCGTATCGATTTGAATAAAAGTGAATCTGATAAAGCATTTCGCCAATGTCTTTATTCAGTTATGCTCTATGTATTTGGACAACAAAATGGTCGTAATCGAAACGAAGATATAATTGCTTTTCAGGCACTTCACGATGCCTATCCATTTGGTCATCAATCCTTGGTATTTGTAGTAAATGGTGTTCCACCTGATCGTGATCGCACATATGGAGGTAAAGTCATTGTATTTCTTGAAAATATTATTCGTCTACCAAAAACACCGAATATTTGCTTTTTTGGATCAGATTAACAAGAGGAGTGCACGTGAAAAAGCGACATTATGTAACTGTTTAATGAATGTCATCTTGAGTTAAACCGTTTCAAAATAACACAAAAAACAACATGATGTACGTTTACAAGCAGATGGTATTAAACAATTAATGGCAGAAAATAAACGGCAAACAGACGAATTCAAACAAGAAAAACATAAACATCAACAGGAAATACAAGTCAGGTCTAATGGATTTACGTCATACAATTCAGCTGTTAACATTAATACCTTGGGCATTGTGGGTGAGTGAAGAAGCAAGATTGAGAGGTATTCGAATTTGGAATTCGAAGAAAACTCCTAAGTGTTCGATATGTCGCAAGAATTCGAGAAATTTCAAATTGATCATGACTAAGATTTCTGATACTTTAAAATTCTGGAAATTTGAAATTCTCGCTTTTTTTTACAGAAATTATGAATTCTCATAAATCGAGAATTCCAAATTCCCTAATATATGGAGTTCAGAATTCTAGCGGAATTACGACTAGGACAGCAATTTTACAAATTCTATTCATTTTATAGAATTCTAGAAAATTGTTGAATCTGTTATTGTTCGTGCGTGGAAAAGAGGATAGTTTATGGATTTTCTTAAAAGTCTACCCATTTCTTAGAATTTTGGAAAACTGTTGGGTTTTGTTGCATTGCGGGTAGAATTATATAGATTTCTAAGAATTCTGCTGAATTCGATCCGTCATTTACAGTAACGGGCATTGAGGGAATTAATATTCCAAAACAAATTTGGAATTCGAAGAAAATGAACACAATTATGGCACTCCTCATACGATAACACTTTATCCGAGATACTAAGACTGTTCACATCACCCGTATTCCCTTTACCTGAATCAAATTTTCTTCCTGGATTAAGTCATTCACAGTAATATACAGACAGTCAATGTACTGTGTGAATCATCAGACGATAATGAATCAACTGTTATGTCAGTGTGAATAATATTCTGAAGATACACAGACAGTTATGACTTTCTGAATGTTCTTATTTCGTCCCTTTACCGTTTCGCTCAGTCGACTTTTCAATCTTCCCGAAGGGTAGGTGGCATCTAGTCTACTCTAGCTTTCATCATATCAAGCACTATAGTATATATTCAGTATGAAATGAATCATGTAACGATTAATTATCTTATAGGAAGAACGATAGAGTTTTGTAAAAAGCCTACTTATTTTGTGACACTGATTATAGGATAACTGAAGCAAATATCCGAAAACTAACTACAGATGTGTCATCTACGGCTTCTATACTTTCGAATCATCTTTTCCCGAAATCTGTACGATCAGAGATGACTGAGAACAAGTGGCTGGCTCGAGCGAGAAAAACAGGTGAAAAGCAGAATTTTTTCTGCTGAAACAGAATAAATCTCTTTGAGTTTCACTCAGTCGACTTAATAACATTTTTAGAGGCAGTTTCATACGCTGAATCAGGAAAAAATAATGGTGACACTTCAAAATAAAAAATAAAAAGGTTTTCGAAATTTATCTCAATATAACTGTTTTTGAATTTTAAGGACTTCAAATTTTTTTAATTTTTTTTCACTTAAAATTTCGATTGGTAAAGTTAAAAGCTCAATTTTCTTGATCAGCTGGATGAGCTGAATCGAATGATGTATAAATAAGCCAACAATAAAATGGTGCTTGCATTTTGAATTAGCGGTACCTTGTGGAAAAAGCTATTCTTTGTTCTCTTCGTGCAAACATCTAAATTATACACAACCTATCGAAAATGATCAATTTATGGAAGATGTACTGGATATTGTCAATTCTTATTTCAAGTTTTAGGAAAACTTCAGTTGTCTATTGTTTATTTAATAAGTGTTTTTTGTGCTCATTTAATTGCTTGAACAACAAAATAAATAAAATATGCTGAAGACAGCTTGCAAGTGGTTAGAAATGATCTGTTTAGAAAAAATTTGACTGAACGGACATCATGACTACTTGATTTTAGTTCTCCGCACACAGCCAGTCTAAACGCTGAAGTTAGTCAATAACGGTTTAAGTATTCTGTGCCTCTGTTGCTATTAAAAACAATATATGCGGCCTTCGAGACATACAAGCAAATAGCCACAAAGTACATGAAATACTGTGACGTCATGATGGTTTATCTTCCATATCACTGAAAAAAGTAGTTGATAGCTCAATTCTGTGGTTTACTGCTAGTTTATCCATAGTTATTGTGGGCCATATCGTTCACCAAATGCCGCATTTTCATTAAAAGCGCGTGTAATACGTTTTCTGTAACGACATCCACCAGTTCTTTCATCATGACCTGATACAGAGGTTGAACACTGTAACAAAACTAATATCCTTGATTTCGTGTTCAGGTGAGCTTATGACTTTCAAACAATTTCACACTGTGTAAAACGTATATTGTTTTTCTATTTGTGTTTAATCAGTGCCTCCGCATTTGATAATCACACAGTTTCGTTGTTTAAGATTGGTAAAATTTAATCTGAATATTAATCTTGTATCATAGGTCAGAATTGTTAATACTCAATCCTCTTTATGAATACGCGTTTAATTTACACATACAGATATTCTGTCATTATACATTATTGAGGGCGTACCCCGACTCTCACATCATCTGTTCTATCTTTTTCAGAAAAAATAACATCATGTCATGTCACTAGCAGAAAATGATAATTTTCAAAAGCATGAGAGGTGCATGGAGAACGCTAAACCTCTTCTCTAGAAATTATACCAGGACATTTTATATACTATAAATGCAGTAATATACAACAGATATTCACGCTCTGCTGTATAAACAGGAGAAAAAAAGGCATCTCAATACCTTAATGTAAGATGGTTAACTCGTTTGCAAAATGTTGGCTATATATATTTTATAACAAGATGTTTAAGATTCATTCATCTTACTGTAGTCACAGTTAGAATCTTGAAGCAAATTCATAGTTCTAATAAATAGGAGCATGATAGTACCCAATAGAGTAATGAGCTGGTCATTAGGAACAGAATTGACGAAAATCATAGTAGTTTTGTTTTATGAATCGGTAGTATTCGTGCACAAGGATGACCACAAACACCAGAGATGATCTTGACTTGATCGTCTGTAATAGAAATAAGATGAATGCACTTTGTACAGAAAAGAAGCATCTTAAAATCCGATGAAACGTTACATGTTGCATAGATGAACGTCGAATATAAGCTCATCAGTTATTGTTGAGATTGTTGATAACAATCATTGATATAATTAGATAAAAATAAGTGAAATAATTTTGTTTGAATAGTTCTTGTTTGATTGAGATGCATGTTATATTATTTAGTCTCTCTCTCTTGGCAGGAAATTAAATAACAGTACGTAATTGTACGTAGACTGTCAAAAAACTGTGTCGAGAAGAAAAAAGAAAATGAGAGAGAGCACAATACCAATAGTAATCTAATGCATGCCGGTAGTGTTGTTTTAGTGAAGTATGGCTGAAGAAAGGGGGTGACATTTCCATCGTTAATAATATATCATTAATGAATGAACAAAAAAAAATAAATGTTTTCTCTTCTATTAAATAATTTGTGTCATCGACTAATACTATAATACTCAATGAATAAGAGGGCAAAAGAAGGAGGAAAACACTTGATACACGCAAGTTTAGCATGCAGAAACATTTGTTCAATTTATTTTTTTAAACTACTCTCTAATATGTGTGAATAGAAGTTAATATATATCTTAACGAGATGAAGAGGAGGTCAAAACGCAGTGTATAAGATTAAATGAATCAAAATTATTATAAAGTGAGTACACAATCACGATGAGCAGTATCTCTTTAACTGCAGTAGTGAATTACACTCAGAACATGAGTTTTCTTGAATGTTCGAATGTTTTCCCCTTCATTTTCCTGAATTTAGTATGCACGTATTTATACTCGAAATTCTCCTAATAGTTGAGATGACTAAAATAGAAAAATTTTAAAAAAATGAATTATTTTTAGTGCTTATAATAAACATAATAAGTAATTATTTTAATAAGCTGATATTATTTTTTAAAAACTGTATTCTTAAAAACGTCTGTAGATAAGGTTTTCACAAAATAATTGTTTATTAGTAATTAATGCATTCATATTCTCTTTTAATTTGCTCTGTTTCAATTTCTGAATCTTTTCTTTATTTTTGTCCATATCCATTCACAAAGGTAGATAGTATGGTCGTTTTAGCTACTCTATTCTGAACTACATTAAGAAATCAACTGTTTCACTTTCATCCAACCATCAGCACAACTCAAAACTTATTAAAATATTTTTTGTTTCCGTAAGACCGATCACTGAACGAAAGCCGAACACAACTTTCTTCTAGTTTCAAACCAACATATCGATAATATCATAATTTGTTAAAAAAGAAAATCTCAATAACGGTTGTGGTAGAGATGCGAAAAGATAGATTTATCCTCTAATTGTACTGAAAATTTTCTGATATAGAAATTCAAGTATTTTATTGATATGACCTGAAAACAGTCATTAGAATCTCTTTGTAAACAATGAGAGCTGTGATAGCTCAATGGTGCGTATACTTATTTTCTGCTTTATAGGTGCATTATTCGAATCTATGTCATATCATCTTTTTGTAAATATAATATGGTTAACATATCATGTTCTGTTCTTACTGTGGAGAAGAGTAGAAAGATCCCTAGTACGAAACTTACTCAATCTTGTTAATGTCTTAGTAACACCTTAACAACTTAGTTAAAATTTCACTTATATTTCTTCAAGATCTCAGACAAATCTTATTAAGATCGTCTAACTCGAACATTCTTAGATTGGACAAGGTTTTTCTTAGATTTTACTAACAATTATTATGCCTTTTAATAAGTTTTATTTATGATTTACAAAGATCTTTTGAGTATATTATTCAGGTACTGATAAATTTCTTTTGCTGAACTGAGTTCGGGTTTGAGTCTGCTGTTTTACATTGTTAAAAGCTGTACTCGAATAGATGTGAAAAACGAAAACATATTTCATACACTGGACATCCATTCCTAGACGTTGACTTGTACTACACTCTCTCACGAGTAAAATCATGAAGAAAAATGACAACGTAAAAAGTCAGTTATATTTACGGTGCTACTTCTTCTATAAATGTACAAGAGAAAAACAAAAGGACGAATGAAAGTAGAAGTATGAAATCTTAATCAAATCTTAAATAAGATATTAAAACATAAGATCTGACACGATCGTAGTAAGATAGTTTAGCCTTAGATTTTCACTAGAGACATGTATGATGAAGTAGATAAATTTTAAACAGAGTAATAGAGTACAATCAAATACTCATCTACTGCTATGTACTATTATAAACTTTCATCAATCTTAATTAGTCTTTAAAATATGATAATCGATTGATGACAAAAGAAAAGCATTTGGATAAGATGTGGAGAATCAAAATAAGCCGGTGTGTTATCAATTTTTCTACCTTTGACTATTAGTAACCTTAAATTACCAAGAAACACTAAAGTATGTTGACGCTCATAAATGCACTTTGTCTAAAGAAATAAAAAATAATTTTCTTTTTTATCAATCGTACATTGTACTATCCAGCTGTTTTCAATTTTCTTAAGTGCGAGTAATTATATTTCACTATTTTCGCAGACGTTTATCATAGAATTTTGTTTTTGTTTTTAATAAACATCGGTTTTAATCAAGCCTAGTTTCTGAGACACAATGATACTAAATTGTCTCTTTGATAGAAGCAAAAAAGTTAAAACGGCAAAAACAAAAAGTGAACTTTCTTTAACTGCTGCTCTTAATTGTTAGAGAGACATAAATCCAATAAAAATATCATACTTGTAATTTTTAATAATATTTTCCTTATTGTTTTTTTTCTTAGAATTTAATTCAAATCAACTATTTAATATTAGAAATAACTTAACTTTTCAATGATGTATTATTTGACCACATTGTGTTTGTTTATAATTGGTTCATATTTAACAAGTGCATTTCCTCAAGGATGGCATCCCGATTATCAACCACAAGATCAATTGAACGACATGAACCTCGACATAGTGAAAACCACGCCTGTGTCTCATAATTATTTTAATGAATTAAATTCACTTAACAATGCAATATTATCGGATGAGGATATTGTTGACTCATTATTAAATGAAAATTTGAATCTTGTACGTGTCATTGAAAAAATTTGTACATTCTATGATTGTCAATCAACAAAATATCGTCGTGATTATATGAATAATGATGGTTCTATGCGTACAATCTATCAAGTAAATCATAATTCAAGAAAACGTTTATCAAGTTTATTTCATGGTATACCCAAATTTGGTAAAAGAACATTTTCAGCAGCATTTACTGGAATACCAAAGTTTGGATAACAAAATTGATATACTAGCGTTAATATTATTATCAGTATGTCTCATATTAGATACTGAGTTTTTGTGTATAAAATCTGAATGTCATTGGAAAATAAAGTTAATACTGATATTTAGAATAAAAGTATTTGTCAGTTTGTCATCAAAATTGTTTGACTTTTAAAAATGTTAATTTTCAAAATAATAATGATCTGTTGATTTATACTTCAAATATGAAATAATTAGCAAAATAATTAAAAAATGAAATTATATTAGTTGACTATAGTGTGAAAGATAAAAGATGTCTCTTTCGATTTTTTTGCTAATTCACTATTAGCGTTCAAGATCTAAATTATTAAAACAGAATTAATATATTTTGCATAACGTCTCAACTGAGATACATTTGATAAAATATGGACTTCGCGAATTTTGCGGCTGAGATACAATTTTGACACGTGCGTTGAAACGTGCAATTGTACAAGAGTTCAGTATACAAAGGTCGATTATTCAATAGTTCTACAAAATCTACAGAGACGTTTACGCCATTTTGCATACTTACGAGAGAACCTCCCGACATATACCCCTCCGATCCCAATGATTTGTACATTCATCGATAGACCTCAGTGAGGTAGTAAATACCCTAAAAGGATTTGGATTCATGGCTCTTGAAGACCCGGTTTCCTGGAAAATCAGTTTTTCGAGAACTCTAAAAAATAATCAAAACTATTTTTTAATGAGGCATGATTATAGCCCGTAAATTTCTGATTAAAATGAGACATCTGCCAGCTCTA